TATCTATCTATCTATCTATCTATCTATCTATCTATCTATCTATCTATTTTTGAAGCAAGGCTTCTCTCTGTAGCCTTGGCTGTCCTGGGTTCACTTTATAGACCAAGCTGGCCTTGAACTCACAAGGATCCACCTGCCTCTTTTTCCCTGAGTGCTGGGATTAAAAATGTATGCCACAGCTCCCAGCTTAAAATTACATTTATTTACGGTGTGTGCTCGTGTTTGCCAGTGCAAGTAGAGCTCAGAGGACAACCTGCCAGAGTCTCTCTTCCACCATGCTCCGCAAGCACTCTGCCCAAGCTGCACTCTCATCTCCGAGGCTCCAATTTCCAGGGCATCTTAGTACTGCCCAGGAGTGTAGATCCTGCTCAGCCAAGCATGGATGGTCTCTGCCTACATGGACCCATAAAATCTTGGAGATTGGAGGATCATTTTTCAGGAGGAATTTGGAAGACAGGAAGTCACTACCTGAGATCTCAAACTGTATAAGCAATAAAACATTCCTACATTGTTATACCTATCCCAAATTAACTGTGTTCATTGAGACTTGGCAAGTGTGAATTGAACAAGCAGTCGGGAAGGTAGGGGTGGCTGAGATGGCAGAAGAGGCACTGTGAGGAGGGCTGTGAGCACCTGCCTGTGTTTGAGACCTAAACTTTAGCAGAATGACATTTACCATTGATTCCAACTGTATTAAAGACAGGTTTTTCTTGGTAAGATTTTTTTTTTAAGACAGTCTTGCTGTATAGTCGGTCCCATGACTTTGAACTCTTGATCCTCCTACCTCCGCCCACCTCCCAAGTGTTGGGATCATAGTTAAATGCAGCATCTGGCTTGGATTTGTGTGTGTGTGTGTGTGTACATACATGTGTATGAAGGATAAAGCTCAATATTTGCTGTTTTTCTCCATGCCTCTCTACCTCTATCTATCTATCTATCTATCTATCTATCTATCTATCTATCTATCTATGCAATGGGTCTCTCATTTAATATAGAGCTCCCTATTGCAGTTAGCTGGCTAGCCAGTAAGCCCCAGGGATCCTCCTGTCTCACCTCCCAGAGCTGAGTTATGCTGCTGAGCTGGCTTCTGCATGGGTCTTGGGATCTGAGCTGAGGCCCCTGTGCTCATGCAGCAGGCATTTTACCTGTTGTACAGTCTCCCCAGCCTGGTGTTCCGTTTTGTAGGAGACTTTTTTTTTTTTAACTTCTAACTCTTTAACCTTAATGACCAAACAGTTCATTTTCTTAGTAATAAAAAGTGGCAGCTTTTCATGTCAGTCCTTAAGAAGCCCTTGGCAACCAGCAGCAGAGCACGAGGTTGTTGTTCTTGGCCTTGCCCCATTCTCCCGTCTGGAGGCGTGGCGCTGTGTTAGCTTATGCTTTTGTTTGATGTGTTTTGTTTTCTCATATGGAGTCCAGGCTGGCCTAGTCCCATCTTGCTTCACCGTCCATGTGCCGGGCTGCAAGCATGCAGCACCATGCCTGGCTGAAAAAGTAATCATAGCAGTAAACTATTGAGAACTTTTTTGAGTAGTTATATAATTCTTTTAAGTTTATGCAGTTTTTTTTTTCCCCCAATTCTTATAAGTAAGAGATGGGATTTTCGGGCAGTTCATTTTGCTGCCAGTGAGTTATACCCAGAGAGATTAGCTTTAGTCTCTTTATGTCCACAAAGTGACCGACTTGTCTCTCTCTTATTATCTAGTATTTGTAAATATTTTTTCTCTGGATCATCCAGATTCTAGTTCATATGACCCGGTGTTAAGATGTTGATGGTGGCCCTGGACAAATGATGGCATCTGGCTAATGTTCACTACAGTATTATTTTTTCTTCCACCATCTAAATATTGAGCCAATTTTTCAACGTAAACATGGGACAGCTTTCTGAACAAACATGTAACAAGAATGATGATAAATTCTTTAAAATAGCAGTGAAATAGAACAATACAACTGTATATCAATAGGAAAATAGATAGTACTTACCCGTGGGTAAAAAGTGAATGAATTAAGTCTACACTTACTGTAAGGACATTATATTGAGTGAAAGAAGCAAGGGTCAGAGGGTATTTACATATAGCAAGATATGTTTATGTTCAGTTTGAAAACAGCATGTTTACTTATATGTGTATAGCTAATGAGTACCTAAGCTATGAGTGAACATCAGCTGTATTTTTAGAGGGAGTGGGTAACTGCCTTCAGCTCCATGTGTAGCTTTCTTCTATTGTGAAATGGAGCTAACTGGGCATATGCCTCTAATACCAGCTCCTCGGAGGCTGAAATAGAACTGCAAGCTCAAGACTACTCTGGGTTGTGGAGTAAAGCAAATTTGAAATATTTTATTATATGTTAAAAACCAGGTGGTGAGAACATAGGTCTGATACTTATTTTTATGTCTGGCTAATATGTTTTGTGAAACTGTGCTTTAAAATTATTTATTTACTTATATTGGGCTTCCCCCCCCCCCATACTTTATTTTACCTTGTAGCTTTAAAGCAGTAGAGTCTGAACAGCTCTTCTCTCCCTGTGGGAAGACAGAAACGTTCAAGGGCAGCCCCTCTGAGCAGAGCTGTTCTGCGGAGAGGAAACAGACTCTGTGTCTTGGGAAGTATTTTCTCTAGGAAATGAGTGTTGAGCCCTGTTTAAACTGCAGAGGAGTCAGGATGCTAGAGACTCTCAGGAGAGTTGAACACAAAACCATCTTGAACTCTTAAAAGTGCCAGGAGCAAATTCATTCACAATGCCCTGAAAGGAATTTGAAGATAGACTGACTTAGAAAATTACCAAGATTTTATGTGGTCATTTGAGTTGGTTACATTGGTTAGTACGTGCATTATTCTGAGATACATAATTCTAACAGTTAAACATCAGATTCCCAGACACTGTAACAACTTATGCCTCTTATTACCACAGCAATATTAGAAACTATTTCATAGGA